TTCCTGCTGTTTGCTGGATGATGTAATAGTTGATTCTCCTACCGTGACCCGGCTGTTGGTGCCCGGGTTCCCTCCCAGCCTGTAGTTGTTGTAGGCCAGATGGCTGTATGGATTGTATCCCACAAACCCTGGGGTGCTGGGCATTTGCTGATGGAAACAAATGAGACAAAAACACGAATGAGAAATGAGCTCAAACGAGGAAAACACAGAAATGAAAATGAACTGCAATATGGCATGCAAAAGCAACCAGAATTTAAGCAAATGAGGTGTAGCAGTTGGTATCTTCTCAACACGCAAAACTTACTCCAGTATAGACCTAGTAAGGAAACAGGATTTTTAAGCAAATGTGTCACTATGAATTTCTGTCTGAAGTTGGTGATTTTATTTCTATTGAGTGTGTAACTCATTTAAACAAGTACTCTTATTGATTCAGCTCACAGCTAATAAAATTGTCCAACATAAGCCATTGAGTAGTTCAGAGACTGATACCCAAAGGGTTACAAGGCAACACAGCACACAGGAAGGGGCAGAGATCCCCAGTATTCACATGGACTATACCAGTGAGAATCCCTGTGTTTCTTCCCATCCTTTTGCCTCTCCAACATATACTGTACTGTCAATAAACAGGAAAAAAAAAAATAAACCTCTCAAAGCACCATCTGTGCACCACCCACTGCCAGGATCTGAAGACCTTCCTGAAGGTTTGCAAAACTGAAGTATTTTGGGAAATTGGGCTTAGGAAGCTGGGAGAGACCATTCAGAGATACCCTTGTGTTGGGAGGTTGGCTGCAAAGTGGCCCCTGAGGAACCACTGCAATAGAACCTACAGGTCAGAAACTACAACAAGCCTTTACAGATCACTGGTTCTCAGACAGCTGCACTCAATCAATACATCTTCAGTCATTCTTGAAAGGGGATCAGTTTGTTCTCACCACAGCAGTGTAGAGGAAAATCAAATTTTGTTTAAAAAAATGGATCAACTATTTAATAGTCATTATGACTAATCACAGTCCCAGCTGTCATTCCAGTCAGGATTCATGACTTCCTGTAGTGTTTCTAGACACTTGTCATCTGCACAGTGTCCCACTCTTGGGGACAATTTAGCCCTAATAAGAAACATGTTTTCTAAGACTCTCAGTGATTTGCTGACTTGCCCCATCCTAAATCAGTTACAGAAGTCCTACTGGTAAGTTCAGGACATTAATAACCAAGATATGACAGATACAAACATGGTACATAATAACCTGTAAGCTGAACTACATGAACCTGTGAAGTGTTTAAGTGTACGTAGACACACCATGGTCAGTTCATTTCTGAACACACTACAGTTGCCCCTCAATAGTCAGCCTGCAGGCAGATACTTGATTACCAGACTTTTTCAACTCAGTCCCAGCAGTTGACACTCACTCGGCCTGTGATCATGCCACACACATCCACTCCTGCATAAGATCCATTTTACTGTAGATTTCTGTATGACCATTACAAGTTTTGAATATACTGAGCTACAGCCCTTCCATAAAATCAGGTGATGGTTGCAACGTTTCCCTCCTTTTTTATTTCTGCAAGACAGGGTTTAAATGTCACAAGGGAACTACCTTGCATTACACAGAGAATTGTTACTCAGCTGTAGTACTGCAGCCATGAGAACCACTGATATTTTGTTGACTGTAGTAACTGGAACTGGCTGTGGAAGAACAAGCAAGGTTATTTGTCTGTTTTTCTTTTACAATTTGCATGAACAGCACAGACCATCATCTCAAGGGCTGCATAAAATGTAAGCAATGCAGGAGATGCTTGTAAGAGAGGCAGCGCACATCACTAGCTGCAGTTGAAATTTGTCATGCACCCTTCTGAAGACTTGGCTAACAAATATATCAGCACATCCATGTACCCCATGTAGCAGCATCTGCATCCCAAGGGAATCTCACATGTATGTGCACAGCTTTTGATGCAGGAATCCAGTTGTAAGGGTGGATGCCATGATGCTCCTTCTAATACTGGCACAAATCTATTCAGTTGGGTGCAAAATGACAACTCTGAACAAACTATGCAAATAAAGTTTTATTTAAGTAAATTTTTAAGGACATAACTTATATTCATACATTACATCACTTAGAAACCTCTTTAAACGTAAAGTATGGTACAATAATTCTGAAGGATTAACCATCTAAATCCCATCCTGCAGCTTTCATCCCAGATGCAGAGATCAGGGAGACTCTACAATTTTCAAATTTTCTTTGGTTAAAAAAAAAATCACTTTAGCATCTTCATTCATTCTTTTGTACCAAAGATACTTATTTTCTCATGTGAACACATTCCTCCTAAAGTGCAAGCCATTCAGAAGTGGAAACACTACAGAAAAGGTGCATTTGCTTTCAAATGCTTTCCTGACCACAGTGTGCTGGTATTTCAGTGCCTTTTTATACAGGCATGAATACAACTGGACACGATTCAAAGCTACTGTTCATGTTTTCCTTAGTGTCATTCTGTACCATAGAAAATAAAATACTCCTCATGCCAGAGAATCTAAAATACCAGTGATTTCAGGGAATTTGAGTAAGGCATCAGGAGTGTTTCAATGCAACAGACATATGCATATTCCTGCATGCCACTGCAAATCAGCTTGGTACAACTGAAACATGAAAGAATGCTCTGTCTGCCCATGATTTGGGCACACGTGGTAAGTTTTAGAACTAAATAACTAAGATTGTTCTCCAATATTCCAGTGTGCTGCTGCAACCCACTGGAAGTGTAATTTTAGACCCACTGACTGCTTACAAAAAATTAAGTATCTGCAGGGTTTAGCCTTAAAGGTGAAACATCAGCTTCTTCACAAGCTGCTTAGAAAAGAGAGAGATTAATTTGAAGAATGCGTATCACATTAATAATGAAATACAACCAGTTTGCATTTCCAATACAGAAAGGTGATGTAACTCCATCATTATTGCTCTGGTAAGTTAATCAAGGCTGTATCACCAGATCTGGGTAATGAGAAAAATCTCTATACTTACGGTTGCAGGAGCTGGGGTAGGAGGTGGGGCGTAAGATGGCCTTTCTGTTAAGATATAAATGTAAGCATTTTTTTTTTTCTTCAAAATTTCAACAAATCCTTTAAAGGCAAGTGCTGTGACAAACATTTTTAAGCAACTACAAAGAGACAGAACCCCTGCTTCCAAAAGACTTTGCATTGTGCCACTGAGGAGCATAATGCAAAGAACACACGAGAAAGAAAAGAAGGAAAAAATTAAGAACACACCGTTGCTATATTGCTAGCCTTTTATTTAGGCATAAGGCTGAAAACCATGAAATCCATTTATATGCACAATTAAAGGGAGGGTAAGCAAAAATGCAGTGGAACAGGATCTGGAAGCTGGGATATTTGGATTCCCATGAAAACAATATGCCAGAAAACAGCCACAGCAGGATTTAAGGCCAAGAGTTGGGTCAGAAGTTACTATGCCTCATATAATTCCTTTTACTGCAAGGAACCTCAAACAGGTTCTGC